AAAATATTTATGTATAACAAATTAAAAACTAATAAAATTGTGTGGAACACCCATATCCAAAAATAAAAGATCGTTCCAGATAACTTAATGATGAGCACGCACACTCGCGCTGCCTAAAAATATTTAAGTTTTACGGGCGTGAAACATCGCCCTGGACAATTTACTTCATGCCAAGGCCTGCATCCGTATGTGCTTTATCTGAAAGTAGAAAAGTGAATGTTATCAATAGTTGACAATATTACTTTTTTTTACGCAAATTATTTCTAGTATACAATTAGCCCTATAAGGAAAAATGACTAGAATATGCAAGAACTTCTCTGAATGCAAAAACTTTTATAAAAAATAGCAATGGGCAACTCAAAACATTGGCAGGCAACTAACATTAACAAACTGGTTACCTTCAGTCGCCCTTATAGCAACTGGTCAAAAGTCCAAGTGTACAGCGGCCAAAAGTATGAGTGCATATACATACATACATATACAAAACTAATGGCGTGCGATCGAGCCCTATTGTTGACCACGCAATTAGTTTTATTTTTTGACAACTTGACCACGATTGTTTTGATAATTTACACATTTCAGAAATGCGCTGAATGAAGAAAAATAAAACTTTAAAAATAAAACTTTAGAAAAATTCAATGATTAAAAGTTATTGATAACATAACACTTTTATTGCATTTAAATTGTTAAAACATCAAAATTGCCGTGGTCAAATTGTAAAGAAAAAGCAATATTAGCGTGGTCAGTTACAGAGTGCGATGACACGCCATTCCTGTCCAAGCCTGATATATATATATATATATATATATATATATATATATATATATATATATATATATATATATATATATATATATATATATGGATCATTCTCTAAAAATGTAGCAATATACTGTCCCCACTAATTTTTTTTTTAAGTTAATACTATTTATACTTTAAACCAGTGCAAATAACAAATATACAGCTAATACGATGTTAAATTGATGAAAACCAATCCAAAATAGCATTTTCAGTGAATAAATAATGTTCCACAGACTATGACAAGTCACGTTCGTGGAATGTCACCACCCAGACTTTTTGCTAATCCCAAGAAGTTTAAACCTTGTTGCTAGTACTTTATTTTTATTTTAATATATAATAAATAATCAAGAATACATCAAAATTAGAGTTGACATTATTACACTATTTTTCTCAAAACATATTTTTAAAGTAACTTTTATATAATTGAAACGCTTGTTACCACCTTAATTGTCATGTCTGTGGTTAGAGTTATTAATTCCAAAAAAAAGCTGTAGGAGGCAGTAGTAGTTCTCTGTTTTGCTGTTCTAGCTAAACTACCAGACATTTTTATTAATGAGTAATAGTGGGGGAATTTTTGGTGTAGTTGTAGTACTGATAAGTGTTAAAGTTTTAAAAGTTGAATTTGTTAGTCTTAGTGTGTCACATCTGTGGCAAACATACCCAGGGTAAATAATTTTACTTTTTTATAAGCTATACTTATGTTTAATAGCAATTACCTAGGCATATTTACTCCAAGGGGAACAGAGTCCTAGCCTCAAAACATAGCACTCCTTTTATGGTTTTTCCTTCAATTTGTCACGTCTGTGGAATACAGAAAGCAACAGACGTGACACACATGCAACAGATGTGACAACAAATGACAATTTTATCTGTACCTAAATTTTCTAATGCCTATTTTAAGCATTTTTAACATTTAAAAACTTTGCTCATATAGATAATTATTATTGAAAAGATAAATGTTTTTATCTAAATAGTTATAATTTTTTCTTTACTTACAGTTAACAAAAATGGGAAAGATAGAGAAAACTAGAGAATTGAAAAAGTAAAGTATGCGGGAAGCGAGGAAGAAGATGAAAGCTGAAAACCCTGACAAATATGAAGAACAAAAACGGAAAGATAGAGAAAAAAAGCAACACGAAAGAAAATTCATGAACTTTCAGAAAGGGATAAAAGATCAGTAAGAAAAGGTTGGAAAGAAAGGACCAAGAGAAGTAGGGAAATGAAAGAGAAGAGACAGCAACTTATTGAAAGTTTGTCAACACCACCTGAAAACCCAACTGTAAATATTCCTATCGAAAATGAAATTGGCATAAATTTACTTCCTGGTCCCAGTCAGGAATCTAATTCCAGAAAAAGAAGTGGGCTAAAAGTTCGTAGAAAATATAGAGATGGGTTGGAGAAAAAAATCCAAAAATTAGAAGAAAAAAATTTGTTAAAGCAAAGAGGTGATAAATACAAACAAAAATTCTACAGACTGCGATATGCAAAAGATAATACTCCTCAAAAGGTGGTTAAAAAAATGACCAGTGGTACAAAATGTTCGAAGGGAGTAAAGAAAAGCTTGCTTTTTAGCGAAGTACTAAAGACACAAATACAATCAAATTTTTCTACTGAGAGTTGTATAGCCAAAAAAAAGAATTTTGCCAGGATATTAAGCGGAAAGATAATAAAGAAGTACAGACTTCAAAGAAGCCTCAACAATCTTACTTCAAGATATATCTTACCATACAACTTAAATCAGCCCTCAAATGTACTGAAAAAGCAACAACTTGAAATGGAAGTTAGGAACTTTTTAGAAAAAGATAGTTCCAGTAGGCTTACTGCTTGAAAAAAAGAAACAATAACAAAAAACAAAGTTAAAAAACAAAAAAGACTATTAAATGATACAATGTTGAATTTGTGGAATGAGTTCAAACAAACAACTGAGTTCAAGTCAATGTCTTATAGCACATTTTGCAAATTAAGACCCTTTTGGGTTAATCAACTAGACTTTCGTAAACGAGATACTTGTTTATGTATTGACCATGAGAATTTTTATTTGATTCTTGAAAAGTTGTATAGTCTTAAGATGTTGGCATATAAATATCCTACTGACTTGCTAAAAAGTATAACATGTGACGGCGAGCTGAGAGAATCATGCCAGGAAAGGAAATGCAGAGTATGCATTTTAAACAAAAAAATAATTTGTAAAGAATTTGAGAATGATATGAATGAAAAAGTAACATTTCCACAATGGTCTAAAAAAAGTGTTGAACTTGTGATAAAAGATAAAATAAAGACATGTTTTAAAACTGTAAAAGAAGAGTTAACATTAACTAAAAAAAAACTGTTTTTGCATTTTATTAACAACTTACTGGAAAAGTTTATGAAACATGTATGCAATAAAAAACACCAGTACAAAGCTACATCAGAAATAAAAAATAACTTTAGGCCTAGGGATATTTTCATTCATTGTGACTTTTCAGAAAATTACAATTGCAAATACTCAAAAGAAATCCAATCACTCCACTTTGGCAGATCAAGAAACCAAGTGTCAATCCATACAGTTATGACATACTATTGTAGTATTTCTGAAACAAAATAAAGGCAAAATCTAACTGTAAAATTTCAGATAACAGGCGTCATGACTTTGTTGGAATCTGTGCGCATTTAAAGCCTGTTATTAATGACTTATAAGAAAAACTGCCTGTCATTGTAACAGTTTATTTCCTTAGTGATAGTACTTCTCAACAGAACCGAAACAAGTCCATGTCCTATTTAGTTAGTACTTTTTTTCAAAAAGTGTTTGGAGCTAAAACTATAAGGTGGCATTTCACAGAAAAGGGGCACGGAAAAGGTGCTCCTGATGGAATAGGAGGTTGTGTCAAAAGAACCGCAGACAGATTGATTGGACAAGGAAAAGATATTCCTGATATTAATTATTTGGTTGAAGAAATAAAAGAAAAGTGTCCAAGTATAACCATCTATACTATTAACAACACAGATTTCAATCTCTATGAGAAATGTGTACCAGAAAACCTAACAATTTTCAAGGGGACTTTACAAGTTTATGAGGTGGTTTGGAGTTCCACTAAAAAAGAAACATTGTATATGAGAAGGCTGACATGCACTATATGTGACAATGATACAAAATGCAAACACTATAGTATTGGAGAAGTATTAATCCCTGTAAATTTTTTTACGTATCTTCATCCTTGTATCCTTTTAATATATAGCTTTTAGAAACTTAAGTTTGCTTATATTGAATATTGTGTAATATTGAACATAATATTGAATATTATATTTGCATATATTGAATATTGCAAACTTTTGCACTTCTTTAATGTTCTTTAGTTATTTAGTCAGTAAAAATGCTTGATTAATATTTAGTTTTTCATTTACTCTAGTATTTTCATTAAAGATTAAAATAAGCTGTGCATGAAATCTTTATTGTAAAATAGTTATTTAACTTGTTTCTGTTTCATTAATAATTTTTTGTGCCTCTGTTTTAAAAAATTCCTTAACATGGTTTAGCATGTGAACAATTCTTGAAAATGAAAAAAATGCCAGCTGAAGAAACAACATCTAAATGTTTGGCTCAAGAATCCCAAGGACCGGGTAAATGTGAAAAGAAATTGACAAGACTAAGTAACCACAGTGTTTAAAGCAATAATGAGGAGAGAAGCTTGTCTATTAAAATCAATGATTTTGTAATTGTCAAGTTTCAAACATCAAAAAAAAAAAGTGAAATACTATGTTGGGCTAATTCAAGCCTTAGGTGCAGATGAGTTTGTTATAAAGTTTTTGAGAAGATCTGGCCAGGAATTTTTTACGTTTCCAGAGAAAGATGACATCTCTGTCATTGATAAGAGTGATGTATTGTTGAGATTGTGCCAGCCAAACCTCAATAACAGTGATGATATATATATATATATATATATATATATATATATATATATATATATATATATATATATATATATATATATATATATATATATATATATATATATATATATATATATATATATATATATATATATATATATATATATATATATATATATATATATATATATATATATATATATATATATATATATATATATATATAGTGCTTCCAGTTTTAGATTTATATAATCAATATAAATCAAAAACTAATTTAATTTGGAATTTATCTGTTTTGTTATGCATTAACAGTTTAAGAATCGTACTATTACCTAATCTGTTTAGACATTTGTACACTGAGCCAAACGATCCTGTGCCAAGTAAATCTAACTCAACAAATTCAGCATTGTATCTTGATATGCTAGTTTCTCTCAAAGCTAACTTCTATACAACAAAAATTGTTAGATTAAATAAGAAAAATATTTAGGTTACTGCAAAAACATACATACAAACAAGATAAGATTTTTAAAATCTTTTATAAAAAACAAAGCTAACTTTTGTAGGGTTTCCACAAATCTCTGCATCTATCTCATTTTCTGAATCCTCATCACTAATAATGGACTCACTGTAAATTAATAATACAAAATGTAATTAAATTACAATTTGAAATAACTGACTATTTATTATACAATTGATAAAAAATATATATATATATTTGACTAAAATTCATCAATATATTGATGTTATCAATTTCATATATTATTGTGTTACCACCAATTTAAATTTTAAATATGAAAATAAATATTGAAAAAAAAATTATTTTTTAATATATAACATTCATTAATTTAATTAAATTATAATTCATTTATGACCTAATTTAATACCTACTCAAAAAAAGAGCACAACCTTTATTATCAACTTTATTATTTTTGTAAATAATTATAGCAGTTGTAATGCTATCGTGTAAAACATGTTTTTACAGAAAAACTTGCAATTTAAATCTTGAGCTGGTTTGTCATCAAGTCATGTAAATTTGCTGCTTTGTCATTAAGGAATATTGTAAGCAGGTTTGTAATTTAGGCATAGAAAATCAGAGAACCATTTTCAAGTAAAGTAAGATGTTGAATTAATATTTGGAGTCATCAGATAATTTAAAGATCAGAGAAACATCTTCAAGTAGAAGTATCTTATAAATTCTAAAATATTCTAAAAGATCTCAATTTAAAGTTTGAGATCTTTTAGAAGAATCTTGAGAAGATTGAGAAGATTAGAAAAATAAATAAATTTTTTTATTTTTTTTTTAGAAAAATAAATAAATTTTTTTATTTTTTTTTTAGAAAAATAAATAAATTTTTTTATTTTATTTTTAAGTTTTTTTGAAATGAAGCTACAAATTCATCAATTTAAAGATTGAGATCTAAAGCTTTTAAATAAATAAAAAAGTTTTATTTAAGTTTTTTTAAATTTAAAAAAAAAAATTTTTTTTAAGTTTTTTTCAAATGAAGCTAACCAGACAGCTGGTCCCAAATACTTAACTGAATAAATTTAAAAAAGTTCAGAAACAACAAAAAAAGAAATCTGTTGATGCTATTTGTGGCAGCAGCCAAATAAATTATAACAAAGTTAGCTTATTTCAGTTTTTATTTTTCTAAACATAATTTACAACATAACTTCTCATATACCACTTTTATCACTTAGCAAATGGAGATGTAATGAGAGCACTGGTTTCAGTACTTATAAAAATGGGGATGTAATGAAAGCTCTGGTTTTACTACTTATAAAAATGGGGATGTGATGAAAGCTCTGGTTTCAGTACTTATAAAAATGGGGATGTGATGAAAGCTCTGGTTTCAATACTTATAAAAATGGGGATATAATGAAAGCTCTGGTTTCGCTACTTATAAAAATATATTTTAGAACTTTGATACTACTAATAAGTTTTTTTATATTTGCATTTGTTCTGTTAATTAATTTACATTAACATAAATTCTTAAAAGAAAAAATCAACTTTTATGTGCACCTTTAAGAGTAGCAGATTCTACATTACCTATAGAAAATTTTATGAAGATATATTAAAGAATTATATATAGTTAAATACAAAAAATGCAACACTTTTTACAAGTTAAAAAATATTATTATGTCATATAGTAAAATAAACAGCATTTACTTGTTACAATTTTTTTAAATTTTTTTGATTAATTTTATAAGCATATTTAATAGCGAAAAACTTAAGCACAAAAAAAAAACGCTACGCAACAACTCAAAACTTAATAGTATAATAAAAAGTTTCTATAAGCATTAAAAAAACTATTATGTTAAAGTTTTTATTAATAAATTTAAAAAGGCTTTTAAAAACTAAAATATTTGTTTGAAATTTATAAGTATGAGACAAAAAATAAAATAAATTAATAACTTATTGCAGCATTTTAATAAAAATGATAAAAACCGTGCTACTTAATTCAAAAAAAATGTAATGCTTTGGCGTTTTTTAAAAAATGAAATAACTAAAAAAAATGCAGTATTTTATTAACATAGCTGTGCATTCAACTTCAATTTTTGTATAAAAAAAAGTTCAAAAAAAGAATTTATTATATAATTATGGAACAACTAAAATAATTATAAAATAAACGCACATAAAATATGGGTCGGACAAAACTGACTGATATATGTCGTTTTTTACTGGACAAGTGCCAAACAATGTCAAATATCTGGCGCCTATTTTGAGATCATATATATATATATATATATATATATATATATATATATATATATATATATATATATATATATATATATATATATATATATATATATATATATATACATATATATTAATATATATATATATATATATATATATATATATATATATATACTTTTTTTTTTAATTTCTGATGAGTCTTTATAAATGAAACACAGTGTAAAATAAAAAAAGTTTGTGATTTTTTACTAAGAAATCTGGTGTCCCCCTTGTCCCCCCTCCCAGAGTTGCCAGCCCTGTAGTACAATGAATTATAAACAGTGTTTTTTTACTAAGTTTTTAGAAAACTGGATGAATGATGAGATTTTAAAAATATGGCTAACAAAGATGAACCAGAATAAGTAAGTGATATAATATGACAAAATTACCAGAAAATGACCAGTTATGAAAATCAATGGCTATCAGGGATGCAGCCATGATAAAGCTGTGGTAAAGTTAGAATCTAGAGTGGCTGTTTTCATTGCTGAGAATAATTTAGCTTTATCCTTGGCGGATAAACTGGTGCCCCTGGTGAGTTATCAGCAGACCATGCAATTGTCTAAAAGATGTCTTGTGCAAGACAAAAAATTGATAATCTTATAAAACAAAGAATTTGTATTAAAAAATATCATTTTGGTTAAAATTGATATTTTTCAAATGTTTAAACCATGGTTATGTATATTATTATGTATAGGTGTGTTACGAATAGGTGTTTACTTATTAATAGGTGCTTACTTATTAAAACAATTGGTGCTTATTTATTAAAAATATGGTGCTTACCTATTAAAAAAATCTTAGAACTTGTTGTTTATAAGCAAATTTCAAGTTATTTTGAGAATAATAACATTAAAAAAAAATCTATTTAGCTTTGGGAGTAAAAGATCAACTGAATCTGTTATTTAACTGAATCTGTTATTTAACTGAATCAGATATTCAACTTTTGCTATCTTATTAGAGAACATCATTCATAATAATAAATTTGTAATAACAGTAATGCTAGACTATAAAAGGGCACTTGAAACAATAAATAAAAAGATTCTTATAGAAAAGTTAATGTTGAAGGTACAGTTATAAATTGGATTAAAGACTATCTTACAAGTAGTCAAGATCAACAATTTAGTGCATTAATGTGATATAGGGGTTCCATTCAAAGAGGTCCATGTACACTACACAGTGCAGTGTACATGAACCTCTTTTGTTTACAATTTATGTGAACAATATTGCATTAAAAATTAGTAATCAATTTGATTGCTGATGACACAGTAGTGTGTAATGATTACAAAGAAGCTATTTATCAACTAAACCAAGACTTAAACAACTACTTTGTAAATGGCTAGAAAATAACAAACTTAAATACATATGTCCATAGCCATTCACAAAAATAAAAGTGGTGAAAAAAATAAATAAATAAATAAGTGTTTTTTATGTTATTGTTTTGATGACATAGTTATTGAAATTGGTCATTGTGTGAAGTATTTAGGAATTCGAACAGATTACCAACTTAATTTAACTGAACAAATCAAATATATATCAAGTAAAACTGTAGAATACCTTTCAAAATCAGTTCTTGTTCTTTTTGCTTTAACTATGCTTGGAGATGGAGTGAAAGGGTTTATGTTAGCATATACAACCAACTTTCCTGCTTGTTTACGATCTGATTTTTTTCTTTTACGATCATCTAAATTTGTTTTTTTCTTTTTTAGGCGTGTTCTACTAGCTGGCCCTTCATTAGAACTTATGCCATTTTCACTGTTTGTATTATTTTTAAATTTACTAACCAAAGTTTTTGGCGTGTGAGGAGTGTCAAAAAGTCTAAGTGCTAAGAATCCTCTTTGTATTGAAGGTGGAGACTGAAAACTGGTGCTCTTAATTGGAGAAATCATTCGCTTTTTAACTGGAGAATCTGGAGGAGAAATCATATCATCAGTGCTATTCAGTTCATCATCTAAAAACGATCTGTGACAACTAGTAGTTTTATCTACTTCAGTGATTGAGGGTAAAGGTAAACCTCGCGATTTCTTTAAAACTGGTGTGCATGGTCGTTTATGGGATATCGGCGATACCATTTCTTCTGTAAGTTTGTCAATAATATTTTGTGTCAAGGTGCTCATTCTAACATAGCAGTTTCTTTTATTAAAATAATTTGTTTTTTATATCTTTTACCAATATATAAATCAATATAGAATTTTACATACATACACACGCGCAATAAAACTATGTATGCTCATATAACTGTAACTATGTTTAAATTAAATATAGTTAAACATTTCATGCAACATAAAATATTAAACATTAAATGTATGTTGTTTATATAATTTACACTCGAACAATTATCCGGTTTGTGTTAATAACGAAGTGTTCTTAAAACGCACCATTTAGACATAACCTTAATTTAATAATTTAACTAAAAAATCAGACAAACAATTGAAAAGGTTAGTGCTATTTATTCTATACCACACGTTTTCCTGAGAAGTCACAAGTGAATCCGCACTAATAACGTAAAAATTAATTTTTATATTTCATGCCGCACAAACGGAACTGATGACGATAAGGTAAGGAAAATTAAAACAAGCATACCTAACAAGAGTTTATATTTGAAGTAAGGTTTACTCAGACTAATTAAACGCACAAAACAGATTTTCTAAAAATTGAAAACGAAATTTATATTTTTATTTAATTTATTTACAATCTTTTTTAAGTTATTAAAATATCTTAACTACATACGGCAACAACTATTGTAATTGTATATCATTATTGTAATTGTTTTTTTTCACACTTTTACTCGTCGGCTAATACATATATCTTGTCACAGAACTTAATTAAGATTACAATATAAATATAATACAAAATGATACAAGTAGTTTAAAACAAAATAAATCTAAAATAGTTAAAATAGTGTATGGTGAAAAATAATAACTCAAATAACTTAAGTGAATCTAAAAATTACGTCAAATATCTCCGTTTTTGATCCACCACCCCTCCTCCCCTCGTTACAAAATGTTGTCATGAAAGGAGGGGTCAAAAACGGGTGTCCATAAACTACGTCACACTCTAGAAAGGAGGAATTAGAGGTTTTGTGAGGACTTGTTACTGAAGAGCTACTACGGTGCCTCGTAACTCTTCAGTAACAAAACCCGTACGAGTTGTCACAAAACCTCTAACCCCCTTCCTCCTAGGAGCGTGTCGTAATTTATGGACGAGCCCTAATAGTATTACAAACTGCCGTATAATGGACTAACACCATTTAGATTTATATATAAATAGCCGTTAACTAACGTTTATCTAGTTTAACTTAGTTTCTAAAAATATTTCCATGAAAAAATTCAATTCTAAAAGAGTTCCACTCCACTCTGTTTGCAAAAAAACTAATAATTTAAGCTCTAATAGTTAGACTTAGAGCCAAAATGAAAAAAAATGCAAATACGATAGAACTGCAAATGATCATGTTGATTTATTTTCGCATAACCAATAATTTTCAGGTTTTGGTTTTTCAATATTTTTAATTAATAACTCTGCTATTATTATGGTTTTTCAATATTTTAAATTAATAACTCTGCTATTATTTCTTCTAAAACAAAAATTTTTCGTCGTTTACTCAAAAGTTTGTATTTTGTATGCGCTGATGTTTTTTTCTATAGGATTTTTTTTCTTTCAGATATTCGAAACACGTGTTGTCAGCCCTGTTAGTTAAAGTCTAGGTGGTTGACACCAAAAAAGTTTACCACACTGGGTGATACCAACCCTAGTAACGCCACTGTATAGAAATAAACAAAACAAACAAGTAATAGTTTTTCGGATTAAAGGTAATATTTGTCATGTATTTTAAACTTTTATACTTTCTAAAAAAAATTTAGTAGTTGTAGATTTTTTTTTTTTAGGTGCCCAAAAAGACCTAACAGTCTTGTCAGAGACTAACAGTTTTGTCAGAGACTAACAGTCTTGTCAGAGACTAACAGTCTTGTCAGAGACTAACAGTCTTGTCAGAGACTAATAGTCTTGTCAGAGACTAACAGCGCTTGCTTCGAATTCCGGATCTCTTGTTTCTAAGAAAGCACTTTAACTACTGCGCCAAAACCGTACTTGTTGTCTTTAATGAGTTTGTCAATCCATGTCAATGACATGATTTATGTCTTTAAGAGTCTTTTTCAAATCATTCTTAAAGTTAGAATAATGATTGTAATTCTCGAGTACAGAGATAGCCAACATTGGTTTTGTAAAATCGTTAGAAATATCAAAGTGCTCAATGTCAGATTTTTTTTTAGTTTCAATAGTATTATGTAAAGAAACTTTTGCAAAGATGTCCTTATCTGATGATTAGTTGGCAATGCAAAAAAAGATATCTATTTTTACATACTCATCGGCAGTGAGGTTAAAATCTGCATCAAAATTTTAAAAATTCAAGATCGTCTTTCCATTAAGCCTTCTCTACATCTAAGTCACAGAATGGATCGTTATTAAAATTTATAAGCTATTCAACTGCTTCTAATAATATTTCTGGTTTCTTGAAACAATTTATAAATATTAGGTCTGAAATGGAGTTTTGCCATGATTTAGCATAATCATAGCAGTTAAGAAAATTTAAATAAAACTTAAGTTTTTTATTTTCTAATGCACAAAACTGCTTATTTACTGCGATATTTGACTTTAAAAAATTAGATAATTAGGTGGTTTAGTGAACGAGTTTGTATTTGGTAAAATAAAGATAAGCTCCAGCCAATCAGGTTTCTGCACGTTAGAATGAATTGAAAAATTATCTAAAATTAAAACAAGTTTTCTATTCTGAAAATTAAATTTTAGTTTAGTTTTCTTTAACCCGCTCCTCAAATAATTCTGCTGACATCCAACTTTTTGGTTGGCTCCAATAGCAACAATATTTATTTTACCTTTAAAACATTATTACATATATTACAAACATTGACAGTTTTTCTCCTTTAACATTAAGAATTGTTTCCAATGCATTTTTCATTTTTTTTAATGTAAACTATTGTTGGCAAATAATGATAGAAAAGCATTAAAAGATGAAAAAAGTATATATTTTTAATGAGCATTAAAAATATTTTTAAGTGGGTATCAAAAGAGATATAGACAGTGTGGTTTCAAGCCACGGAGCGATCATTTGTTCATTAAACGACTTTGCCACTCTAGAAACAGTTTTGAAAGATCTACTATAGCTGCATAAAAATTGTAATAAATTTGTAAATTGTGACGTCAACGTCAAAGACGTTGACGTCACAATTTACAAATTTATTACTAAAAATAAAAATACAACAATAACAATAACAATATATATTCTGAAATAAAAGTTTACATTTCATGGTTGTTTACTAATAGTACGAGTACTAATCTAAGGTAAACACCAATTAAATAATAATAGCAATCATATAATAATAATAATGTAAATTAAATGAAGACGATTATAATAATATCAATCATACTATTAAATATAATAATGACAATAATAATGATTATATCAGTAATTATAATAACAACAACAACAATAATAACAATAATAATAATAATATTAACAAATACACATTTATATATTAAACAATTTTAATGAGTAATAATGACGGTAATAAAAATGTAAATAAAATATAAGTAATATTAACATTACATATAATAATAATAATACTAATAACAATAGTAATAATAATCTATTATAAGCCTAAGATTTTAATTAGAGTATTTTTCTATCAAGAAGTCAAAAAGACGGGTTTTAAATTGTGAAAAAGAGTTGAGGGATTGAAAATGAAAAGGTAAATTATTCCACGATTTTACGCATTTGGTTTGTAATAGAATTATCACCGTATTTTACCGAACAGCGATTTGGGATAGATAATTTAAAGTTACTCAAAGATCGAAGGTAATAATAAGACCTTTTTTTAGTGGTGAAAAAAAATGGAGAATGACGGAGGGAGATTTACTTGTTTATGATTGAAGACAAATAGACAATTTAATAAATAAACAAGATCACATAGTTTGAGTATTTTTGATAGAAAGTAAAGGATGTCAGAGTTAGAATGATACTGTTGAAAAAATATTATTTTTAAAGTTTTGTTTTGAAGGTTACATAACCTTAAAAAAGCATTAGACTTGCATTGTCCCTAAACCTGACAAGCGTATTTAAGATGAGATCCAAAAATGGCATGGTATATATTAAGTAGAGTTTCATAATTGACATAGTGGCAAATTTTGGCAAACATCCCTTTTGATCTACAATTTTACTGCTAAGTTTTTAAGATGAGAGGAAAAAGATAGATCTGAGTCAATTTGGATTCCAAGATATTTTAATGAAACTACGGAAAAGATTTTTTGTCCACTTAGTCTAAAGTTTAGGTTTTTATACATTTTAGATTGATTTGATTTTAAAATAATAAGTTCAGTTTTGTTGGTATTAAGACTTAGTTTGTTAGAGCGCAGCCATTGAAGAAGGTTAGATTAATCATGATTAATATGTTTGTTAATTTTTTTAAATGATTTGTTTGTTATGAGTTGGTGTCGTCAGCAAATTGGTAAGCCGTTGAAAATTATAGAGAGATATTAGGATCATTTATAAAAATAAGGAAAAGTTTTTTGTCAAGAAAGTTATAAAGTCTGTTGTACATGGCTTTTTCAAATATTTCACTAATGTTAGATAGAAGAGAAATTGGTCAATAATTTCTGTGGTCCATTAGAGAACCCTTTCTTTGGATAGGAATAACTTTTAAAATAAGCTATTTTAAAAACACCTTAAAAAGACTTTTATTAAAAGAATTATTCAATATGGTACAGAGAGGCTTGCAAATAACATCAGAAGTAAGTTTAAGAAGGTGTGTGGGAATACTATTTTTTAAATAGTCAGAAAAGATACTTTTAAAAGAAATCATTTTACTTTTGGGTGGGTGTTGTATTGTTTCATAGTATTTGTTAAAAATGTTAGCAACAGCCATACTGTCTGAGATAGTGTTACCATTAGACTTATGAGTGTAAGATTTAGTTGGTGTAGAGGGTTTGATATTATTAATTTCTTTTATTCCTTTCCATGTACTTTTGAGGTTTTTGTTAAAAAAGGAAATGTAGTATAACTTTTTGGAAATTCTTAATAAATTGCTAATTTTATTCCTGCACAATTTAAATTTATGGAATAGTTGACTTTTTGTGTAGGAATTTTTAGATTTTATATACTTTTTGTAGAGCTTATTTTTAATTGCAATTGACTTCAGAACTTCATTAGTGATCCAAGGTTTAGATATGAGTTTAACTTGGTTTTTGGTCAGTTTTTTGTACGGGGCATGACGATCAAGAGTTATGTTAAATGTTTTTAAAAAGAAGTTCATTGATTCATTGACATCATCACCATTTTTGATATAAAACTTCCAGTCAATATTAGATATATCCTGAATAAATTCATTATCATTGAAATTCTTAAATGATCGTTTAGCTGTTATGGATTTTTTTCTTTTGAAAGGAGTACCCCTTACGGAAAATTTCCATGAAAAAACCCATGAAAAAAAACGATGGAAAAACCATGGTTATTTGGAACACGTTTTAATAGAAAACCTATGAGTTTTCCATGGGAAATCCATGAGTTTCATATGGGAAACCTATGAGTTTCCTATGGGAGACCCATGAGTTTCCTATGATAAAACCCACGAGTTTTCAATGAAAACCCATGAGTTTTCCATGGGAAATCCATGAGTTTCTCATGGAAAATCCATGTGTTTTTCATGGAAAAGTGTTCCAATTACCATGGATATTCAATGATTTTCCATCCATGAAAAAAACCATGGAATTTCCATAGGTATTAGGAACACCTTTCCAAGGAAAACTCATGGATTTTTCATGGTAAAAAAGCATGACTTGTTTTCAAGTTTTTTTTTATCTAGTGTTATTTAAATTGTCATATTAAATCATAAAAGCAAATTTTATCACACTAATATTATTTCTCCGAATAAAATCAATAAACAAAATAAAATTTAAATCTTGTTAAATCCTACAAATCTTTGAAAAATAATAGCTATAATGCACCTAAAACATCAAAACTTGACTTCACCACAATATTTAATGCATGCATATGTATAACATACTGAAAATAAATAAAACAAAAAATTACAAGTAATATAATACTATAAGTGATATACATAGTGATAAACAATTGAAATATATCAAGAAAACAATTTTTACAGAAAATAAAACAATTTACATGTTTATTATTTTATATTAACTATTTGATAAAAATAGTATATATAAATTTGATAATAACTTCAAGTTTTAACAAGTTAAAAAGAACCATCAATACAACATATTTAATTCAAGAAAACATCAAGCCCATTTATAAGTGCGACTGCACTGTATCTGTAGAAACAGGTAGATGTCAAACAAGGTATCATTCACATTTTGATATTCATTATTTTTTTCACCGTAGTTAGTCTCATTGCTGCTCACAAAGCAGCTTAGAATTCAGCGGTGTTTTTAAAAACTCATTTTTCTTAAAAGTTTTTAGACTCGCTCTGATAATGCAATGTCAATTAATTTAAGATTAATGACGGTTTCTGTAATTTCTTCAGTAGAGCATTCCCTTACGGAAATATTCCATGGAAAACCCATGAGTAAACCATGATTTTCCCATGGAAAACGGAAATTCCATTGAATTTCCATGGGTGAATTTCATTAAAATTGAAATCCCATGGAATTTCCATGGGTGTACCATGGTTTTTTTCATACCTTATGCTGTTACGAATGCGCTTTTAAAGATGGCGTCATAGCTCGTAGAGTTACGATTACTTTTAACTTGAGTAAACAATACTTACTGCATTCTTCTGTTTTTCTGTCTTAAATAATACTATAAATTATATGTTTTTTATAATGCATCACATTTATATGATTCAAACTAAACATACAGACATAAATATCTAGATATATTTATCATATTATAATGCATTATAAAATGGATTAATTTTTAATTATATTTAATTATATATCATTTATGCATATACTTATTTTAAATGTTTCCAATAGCTTTGCTTACTTTGCATAACTTGTAATTGTATAGCAAGTATGTCAAGTAAACCAGTTTGAATTTTAATGCTTACTTGGCAAATTATTTGCCAAATAATTATTATTTGGTTTACAACAAATAAACGTTTAAATTTAATCTACATTAAATAACTATTGTATTAATGTACATAGTGTAATCTAATGTACATTAAAACTAATATAGTTGTTATTATAAAACTTATCTAACATATTAAACAAACTTATCTAAAATATTAATATATAATTTATATATTAATATTTTATATTGCTTTTTTTTTCTTGATATTAATATGCTTTATTTTTTATAATGATATTAATATGCTTATATTATAAGCAGTATATCAGATAAGATTAGATAACTAAGATGAGATAAGATAATAAGATTAGATAACTAATGTACAAAAGATACTAGTATGATCTTTTTTTTTTTATAATAGCCTTAGATTACATAAAAATGCTTGAAGTTAATTGTATTGTAAATGTTCATTAAGTATTAAAAAACGTTTTTTTATGATAAATGTTCTATTCAATTTTAGTTCTGTTAAGTTGTTTTTGTCTTTTTGTTGTTGTTTTTTCTTTAGAATTATTAGAATATGTAAATAATGTAATTTAAATATTGTTTATAAATTCTTTTTTATTTACTTTATTATTTTATTAAAATTACTACATTATAAGCTGACAGGTTTGACTGGCAATATAAATAATGTTGTTCATCGTATATATTGTTTATAACATTGTCAGTTTTTATATGCATTTAATATTTTTAAAAATAGTTCAAAAGCTGTCAAAATAAAATGGTGAATTGAGTTTAAATTAACCAGAAAAGATATGAACGTAATCTTTGGAATTCAACTTGTAAGGATGTTCCAAGAACCACTTAGTTGGAGAAGGAAAACTGTGGTATTGTTTTAAAAGTATCAGAAAGGGAAGTTAATTAATGCACAAGATTTTACTTTATAGTTAAATATAAGCATATAAAAGCAATGTTTATAAATAATACACTATTATTTATTATAATACAAGTATTTTTATTTGTTTATATTTAACTAATGTAAAGTGCTCGTCTTTTGTTAAAATAAATTAATTATGCACACACTTTGATATTTATTATGCTTTTACATTACTATACTTTATAAATTACATATTTATTATATTTGTTATGTTTTAAATAGTAAAGTAAAAGTATAACAAATTTTTGAATTTAATGGTGTGTGTATAAGTTTTTTTATTTTAACTTTATCCTTTTATTTAAATTACTGCATTATAAGCAGGTAAGTTTGACTGACAATATAAATAATGTTGTACATCATGCAGACAGCTCAGACAAAGAAGTAAGTTTTTACTTAAAATTACAATTTATAAGTTATAGTATATTTGTTGCTGCCTTGTTCTATATAAATGTTACTAACATGCAGGCAAATTTTAACCTTATCATTTCATTTAAATTACTACATTATTAGCAGGCAGGTTTGACTTGCAATATAAATTTTTAATTTATTTATTTAGCCGTTCATTAACAAGTTCGGTGCTTTATAATATATTTAAAGATGGTAAGGACATGAAGAAAACAGGTTTTTAAATGATGTTGTACATCATGCAGATAGCTCAAAAGAAGAAATAAGTTTTTTTTTTAATGACAAAAATAAATATATAATGTAATCTTTGTTGCTGCCTTGTTCTATATAAATGTTTCTTACATGCAGGTAACATTTATATATGTATTAGTTTGAATAAATCATTTTAATTAAGTTACATTATAGGCAGGAATGTTTGACTGGAAATATAAAAGATGTTGTACATAATGCAGATAGCTCAGGCGAAAAAGAGGTAATAATCTAATAATTGTTATTTATAAATAATGATATATTCTTTGCTACTTTTTTCTATATAAATGTTACCTAACATTTGGCAACATTCATAATTGTGTATAATGCCTAATTATAAAGTAAGTTATAATAGATAATAGTTATAAGTAAAATGAATCAGTAAATAAAGAAAACTAGTTAGAATGTATATAATAGTTGTATGATGTATTGTCAAGATTGGTGAAATGGAGAATGAGACTAACTACGGTGAAAAAAATAATGAATATCAAAATGTGAATGATACCTTGTTTGACATCTACCTGTTTCTACAGATACAGTGCAGTCGCACTTATAAATGGGCTTGATGTTTTCTTGAATTAAATATGTTGTATTGATGGTTCTTTTTAACTTGTTAAAACTTGAAGTTATTATCAAATTTATATATACTATTTTTATCAAATAGTTAATATAAAATAATAAACATGTAAATTGTTTTATTTTCTGTAAAAATTGTTTTCTTGATATATTTCAATTGTTTATCACTATGTATATCACTTATAGTATTATATTACTTGTAATTTTTTGTTTTATTTATTTTCAGTATGTTATACATATGCATGCATTAAATATTGTGGTGAAGTCAAGTTTTGATGTTTTAGGTGCATTATAGCTATTATTTTTCAAAAATTTGTAGGATTTAACAAGATTTAAATTTTATTTTGTTTATTGATTTTATTCGGAGAAATAATATTAGTGTGATAAAATTTGCTTTTATGATTTAATATGACAATTCAAATAACACTAGATCAAATAACACTAGATCAAAAAAAACTTGAAAACAAGTCATGCTTTTTTACCATGAAAAATCCATGAGTTTTCCTTGAAAAGGTGTTCCTAATACCTATGGAAATTCCATGGTTTTTTTCATGGATGGAAAATCATTGAATATCTATGGTATTTGGAACATTTTTCAATTAAAACTCATGGATTTTTCATGGGAAACTCACGGGTTTCTCATGAAAACTCATTGGTTTTCCATGGGAAACTCATGAATTTCCCATGGGAAACTCATAGATTTCCCATGGAAAACTCATGGGTTTTCATTGAAAACTCATGGGTTTCCCATAGGAAACTCATGGATTTCCCATGGAAAACTCATGGGTTTTCCATGAAAACGTGTCCCAAATAACCATGGTTTTTTCATGGTTTTTTTTTATGGATTTTTATATGGAAATTTTCCGTAAGTTCAATGTTATAACCATTTATAGTAATGTCAGTTATATTGGGATCGTTAATGTTTAATTTAGATTCCGAAATTCCAAATACTGTTCGAAGAATGGTAAGTGAATTTATGAGACTGCGAAGTTCATCAATATGAAAATGCAAAGAACCAATGTTTATATGAAGGTACAATTCAGAATTTGATTTTAAAGTTTTATTGAGATCAAGAATATCGCAGTATTTGCAGTTGGAATAAGAATTAGAGATTTTATTTATATCCTTAAAAAAGTCTTTGAATTGTAATGGACTTTCTAAAGAATTTAAGGTACTAGTTGATAGAGTTTGACATGATATAGTTAAAGAAAATTCTAAGTCCAAAAGTGTGCTAAATGGCATATTCTTAATTATGCAGTCACTACAATACCAGTCAGAAAAGTCTTTGACAAGAAGATTATACAAAAATTTGTTGATTGAATTGCACTTAGCATGAACCCAAGAAGAACAATAATCACATAAAATGTCTCTTTGATGATTGGGCATTTCTTTACAGTATATAAACTTATCCATATATAATTCTATATAATAAAATACAATATTTCTAGGGGTTATATATACCCTCGTTATTCAAGCAATACAAAAAAAAAAAAACCTGTTAAAAAACAAATAATAAAACTTCAATGTAATGTGTTCTTGCTTAAATAACAAAAATAAGGTTTCCAAAACGACAACGCGACGTATTTTAAGAAAAAAGTGAGAGTCTTTGGAAATTCAGTATCACCAGTGCTCTCCAAATGAAGGTGTTTTGTATAATTAAAAAAAAAAGTTTTAAAATAGTCATATAAATAATTGTAGATCTCTGGAAAGCGTCAAATATATAAAAAATTATGTTAACTTTTTCATCTCAAGTAACTTTTTCATCTCAAGAAAAGATATAACTTAGCTCTTCGTTCAAATGAATAACGAGTTAGTAAATATTTTAATATGGTTTAAAGCAAACAAGGTTACTATTATATCTAAAAAAAAAAGTTTTTGTTATTCCAACCTTTAAATAAAACAAAAAGAATTCCTATTTCTTATCCAAAACTAATTAATAAAAACACAGAAATTAGTCGCGAAAGAGTAATTAAATTTCTTGGTGTACTCATCGACAAAAATATTACCGAGAATAAACATATAGCATATATTGGCAATAGAATATCAAAAAGTATTGGAGTTCTATACCAATCAAGGGATCTACTAAATAAACACCATCTAAAACAAATAGACTTCAGTTTTATACAAAGTTACTTAAAGTATGCAAATGTTGTGTGGAGTAGTACATCTAGAGGCAAACTAAAACACTGTAAAAAAACAGAAACATGCTTTAAGAATAATGAATTTAAAAAATAAAAACAACCACGCGAAATAATTTTTTGAAAGTATGAATACTTATACAATATATAAGCTAAACATATTTTAAATTTTATGTCTCATTTACAAAAGTCAATTTCAACAACCCAACAAGCACAATCAACGTTGAATCAACGTTGAAAATCCGTAGAAATTTATGGTTGAAAAATGGTTCATTTTTGGTTGGAATGGAAATACAAATCAACGTTGAAATAAAACGTTAGATCAACGTTAGATTAAAATTGATTCAACCAACTTATATATGAGTTTATAAACCTCAAAAATACAGCTTTTTGTGCCGTGACTCTTTTAATCCGAAAAAACATTTTCATAAATTTATAATAGCTGTCATAGTTCAATATCTTAAGCTATTACACTGCACATCTTGTTCTCAATTTTTACAGCTTTCATTTATTATTATTAGTAGTAATACTACTAATAGTACTAATACTACTAATACTACTAATACTACTAATAATAATAATACTAATCTTGTTCTCAATTTTTACAGCTATCATTTATTATTATTAGTAGTAATACTACTAATAATAATAAATGAAAGCTGTAAAAATTGAGAACAAGATGTGCAGTGTAATAGCTTAAGATATTGAACTATGAGTTATGTGCAGTGTAATAGCTTAAGATATTGAACTATAAGTTAGTATTATAATATAAATTAAATTAATAATACTACTAGTATTATTAATTTAATTTATATTATAATACTAACTTATAGTATTAAAAATAATCTGCCCTGTACCATTTTTTTAACGCAGGTAACTAAGTTATAGAAATTGAAAAGCCATTATTGAAAGCAAATAAAACCAAAAAAATATTTTATACATTTTTAGAACAAAAACTTATACAAAATTAAAATTATTTTCAAAACGATCTTGATAAAATCATGATATCTTTATCTTCAATACTAATGTCAAATTCTTATGTGTTTTTATCGCCTCCTGTCATCAAACTCATTTTGATTTGATGCACATTTTTTCACGATCCAATCAATATGGTACAAAGTTCCATATTGAAATCTTTTTGCATTGTGTCTTTATATAAGAACATCAGGTAACTGCATCTAAATAAAAATACCTTTAAAGTAAGGTACATTTGTACATTTTAAAAGTATTATTTTACTTTACATTGTTCACCAGCGAATGTGAACATTAAGTGATCAATAGTGGAGAAGAAACAACTCATAATTGATCCATGCCTAATTTACTTCATTATTGACCGAGATATCAACCTATTTCAATAATGATACATTATACATTAACATCATACATAAACGTATATACACACATAACACAAACCTTTTAGGCAGTTACACATTGCTTAAGTCAAACATTCGTTTAGTAGAAACGTTTTCATTGGTCTCCTGGAGGGTCAAGATAACTGTAATTATCTGTATTTATATATACATATATGTATATAATTATACACATGTATAAATACATACATATATATGTATAAATACATACATATATATAAATATATATAAATATATATATATATATATATATATATATATATATATATATATATATATATATATATATATATATATATATATATATATATATATATATATATATATATATATATATATATATACATATAGCTCCTATATTATTAAATCCTACATTAAATAGTCTATTTTTTGCTTTTTTAACTAAAGCTTTAAATTTTTGTTCTGTTCTACTGCGCAAGCCATCTTTATTTTATTTTAATAATGCAACAAAATATAAAAAAACAACAACGGTAAAACGAAAATACCAACCTACTTAGGAGTTATGAAGCAATCCAGTCTATATAAGCTTTTACTTTACCTGATGTTATTACACCAATTCCTAACAAAAAGAATACAATAAATACTTTACATAAGATTTGATAAAGATTAAATGGTCTTTAATACTGCTCTTATAAATATATGTAATAATCATTTATATATAATAGGTTATAATACCAGTAGTTTCATCACATTTTAGTTTAAACTTATACTAAACAACTGTTGTGCTTTATTTTAATATTTTACTGCAAATTTCACATTTCGATTTGGACAATGGAAAAAACCATTCTTTATTCAACTTGATGGAATTTCATTTATACAAACAAAATTGTCTTTTGACTATACAAACCAAAACATACTGGTCTACACTATAGTTTCATAATTATAATAAGGCTTTGATTGTATATTTATATATATATATATATATATATATATATATATATATATATATATATATATATATATATATATATATATATATATATATATATATATATACACACACACATACACACACACACACACGGCAGTGCCGGTGTCACTATAAATTAGGACTCAGGAAATTATGACTTCGAAAGTCTTAATTTCCTGGTAAATTAGAACCTTTCGAGTTTAGATTATTAGGAAATTAAGAGTGGAAAGGTAAATTAGGATTCCAACAATCTCTTGAAATTAAAAGATCATTTCGCTACAGGGTGAACTGAAATAACATCGCGCAACGCCTAGAATATTATGTTGAAAATGCACAGAAAACTGGTTGTAACTATAACTGTCATAGTTATATCTCTGGCGCTAATTTAAGATCTCTTAGAATTTCTAGAAGTATTTGTCTTATCTTTTACTGAGTCATAGTCTATGTCTCAGTAAAAGATAAGACAAATACTTCAAGAATTTCTAAGAGATCTTAAAGAGCGCCAGAGATGGATTTACGTTTTCCCAATAGACGATATACCATATAAACATTACACTGTAGTTTGTGCAAAAAATTTTCCATCAAACTGCCTAGTTATTAAAGTAAAAGGAAAAGAAAATACTCGAGATCCACCTAGTGTATTTGAATTAATTTAAAGTTTAGTGCTATCTCTTCCACTAGAAAAAGAACAATAGGTAAAAAAAAACAACAATAGGTAAAAGCTCTCTTAGAGAGCTTAGGGAATCTCTCAGATCAGTAAAAGAAGATGAACTTTCAAAATTCGTAGAGTTTGACGAAGTTGATTCATTTAGAATATTTTGCAGTTATTTATGTCAAGGAAGATTTAATGGTTCATTAGCTTATCTATTTATTTATTTTTTGAATAGATGTTGTTTGCAATCAAAAGAGCATTAAAGCAATACTGGTATTAGTAAATTGTGTCTAATAATATTTAATAATTTATCATATGAAGTCTATAATGCTGGAGTTGTATTCAATATTACTTCATTAGTTAAAAATTGTATTTATAAGTTCAAAAGTTGGTCACATCATTTGGATATTTGATTTCTTTTAAGAAGTCAGAAAAGAAAACAATTTTACGTCAGCTCAAGTAACATTTTTTAGCAAAAATATTCACCTGAAGTTATTGTTTGAGCTTTAGAACATTTTGCACGGTCACATTGTTTATATGATCAATTTAGAAATGTTTTTTATCTTCCTGACACTTATAACTTCAAAAGTTTCACACTTTAATTTGTAGTGTTTTTTTAAAACTCAACAAAATAGTCAAAAAAACTGTATGTTATTACTAGATGAGGTTTATGTTAAACCTATGCTAACTTATCACGGGGACATTTGTTTGGTAAAGCAAATATTTTAACCAGATCACCTTCTTTTGAAGCTTTTTTGATGTGAACTGTAAAGCAGTAAACAATGAATCAAGTTTTGCAACAACTATATTGGCTTTCATGGTTGTATGTTTTTATGAGGGAACAAAATTTATAGTAAAAATGTTACCAGTAAATAAATTGGATATTGGATACAATCAAATTAATATCCTAATCAACCAAATTAAGAAGACAAATGGAAAAGTTATGGCTTTAATTAATGATTATAATAGAGTAAATCAAGCATTTTTTTAAAACGATTTGATTTCTTATCTCTATGGTTAACAACTGATGGCATTTTTTTACTTTTTGATTTTATGCATGTATTAAAGTGTATACGAAACAATTAGATAATTGAAAAGTCTGATGAAATTGAGTTAGTCAGCTGGTTAAAATGTCTAAGCTGACTTATGTTGCTGCTAACCCAAGACTGATTGTTAGACAAAAGGTTGATACATGTTAAAAGATTTTTGTGAAGAGACTATAAATGCATTAAATTATCACCAAGGTATTAAAAATAATGATATAGATGGAAGTTTTTTTTTTTTAGCTAAGGTGGTCAAGTAAAAATAGTTAAGACTCCAATAATATCTTGTTTGATGAAATCAATTTTTTTTTATTGATTTTATTTTTTTATTGATTTTATTTTCGATTGATGATAGAGAAATAACTTAACTTTTGATAATTAGTAGAAATATAAAATATTTAGAATAAAGAAATTAGTAGAAATGAATAAGTTTAATGGAATGAAGTTTTACTTTTTTTTTATTCGTTGTTTTTCTTTAAAAAAAGATAAATGAATTGCTCAAGGGGTCAACCATAAAGAACATATTGCAAAAAAGGAGGGAGGGGTTTGGGATAAGAAGGATAAAAAGAGACAAAGTGGGAGTGAGGGGGTTTACAAGAAAAG